CATATGGTGAAAAACTGACTGAAAAATAAATCTTTTTTTTTTTTTATAAAAGGCTAAATAAAACAAAACTATTGGTGGTAATTTTTGACTGTGTAACTTTACAAACGGCACCACATACACATACAGCCTGGCATTTGTTTATCTATTGAGCCAAAAAGATGGTCGGTGTGACAGTGCGTGTATCTTCAACCTTTTAATCAAGGTTTTATATAAAATGAGGAATCAGTTTAAAGATTTTTTTTATTAAAGATGCAACAAGCAGCAGTGAACTAAGCTAAGTGATCTTTTTATGTTGCTGTCTTTTAAACAGATGTTGCAACAGCTGGCCAATGTAAACTGAAAATTACGTGTAAATTATAGTGAAGTGATAGTGAGTCTCTTCAGTCTTCATGTTTTCTGTATGTTTTGCAGTGATGGATGGGCTGACCGCTACGAGGTTGTAGAAGGTTACGAGCAGGAAGCGGAGGGAGGAATCACCATGAAGCTGCAGTCAGAGGTGGTCAAGTCCTTCGACGACTATTACCTGAAGCTGCGTCTGGACTCCAACAGGAGAAACCCCTGGTTCGCCGAGTTCTGGCAGTACCGATTCCAGTGTCGCCTCTCGGGCCATCCACAAGAGAACAAGAACTACAAAAAGATCTGTTCTGGTAGGTAGMAACCGAGGAGTATTTTACTTTAGAGAATCTACGTATATTCTTTAGAACAAATAGCTAAATTTGTCCTCAATTTTTCCATTTTCGAAATGAAATTTGAACATTTCAACTTGAAAATAATAACAAAAAGTGTCCTTTTTTTCCCCCTCCATTTCCCCCTCGTTTGCTCCCAAAAGGTGATCATGGTAATTTCAGTTCTTGACTCAAACTAAACCAAATTCTATTGCCGTTATTTTGTCAGTACTTAAACTTGCTCGGCATGCTGTGAATGAAATTATAGATTTAAAAAAATGTATCAGTGCTGTTTGATGACCATTGCTACATTGGAATCATGGCTGCTCTCTGATTTATTTGTGTACCTTTTTACAAACGTCTAATATTTCAAAGATCTTCAAGGTGGTGAGTGTCACTCAAGTCAGTTTTATGACTTCTTTCCCTTCATTTTTATCGTCACCTGCACTTTGCATGCATGTGACTCCTTCAAGGCAGTTTAAGCTGTTTGACTGATGCTTTTATTTTTTSAAATAAACATCACTCTCTTTATGTTTCATAAGGAACAGGCTCRGCCGGTTTAACAGGAGTGGCATCAGCATCAGTCAAACTCTGATGAGAAGCATTTAGCTTGTTTATTTGAATAAAAGGAATTAACTCACCCAAGCTGCACAAAGACGTGAAAACTATCTTATTGAGTGTTAAAAAGTGTTACTGAGGCAGATCACCRTCTTGTTTTTGTGCATGTAAATGTCACAGAGTTATTACTTTGTGGAAGGAGGCACAAAAATAAAATTTTCTTTGTAAATGCAATAAGAAATAGCTTAATAGTTTTTTCTTTCGTGGATTTTCGCATTCTTCAYAAAACTGAGATTTAATGTCAGGATGTTGCTTTAGATGAGAGAAGTCTACGAATATTTCCTGACAATTGTAATTCTCCAAATATGTTTCTTATTAAACCACTGAACATTTTGTTTTGATGTGTATTATAATGAACCCTGCTGCGAGAAAAAAAAGAGTTCTGCTTTTCCCCCTGTCTGGATTTTACACTTTCTTTGCTTTTTACTCACAGTGCAAATTCATTTTCCAGCACAGCGCAGAGCACCAGATTCTGCACATTTCTTATTTGTTTTMTGACCTTTCCTTTTATTTGCACAGGAAATGAAAATCTCCACGAGAACTACGTGCAGGACAGTAAGATGGGCTTCGTCATCAACGCCATCTACGCCATGGCTCACGGCCTTCACGACATGCACAGGGAGGTTTGTCCGGGCCAGACGGGACTCTGCGAGGCCATGGACCCCATCGACGGAAGCAAGCTGCTGGATTACCTGCTCAAGACGTCCTTTCGAGGCGTCTCCGGCGAGGACATTTATTTCGATGAAAACGGAGACACCCCAGGCAGGTGAGAGGAAGTCGAGAGGAAATGGAGCTTTCATGTCCCAGCCAGATTTGAATTCCTCCCCCCTCATACAGTCTCGGGCTCATTAACACGCGTGCACAAGCACACGCGAGTGCGCRCCAGTCTTGAGCACAAAGGGATGTAATTAGTTTGGACTGGAACAGATTCCGTGAATGGCCGACTGCGGCAGCCGCTTTCATCTCTTTTCTGGTCCAACAGACAGCATTTGACAGTCAGGAAACACGGCCGTGTCATTTCTCCGTCAGGTGGAGCACATCCCGGTTCGAGTGTAAAAACGAGGACACAGTGTGCCGCTGCACAAGCTCACTATGTCTTATTAATAAGGCTTTCAAGCCCTATCATTTCAACAGCAAAAGAAAAAGAAAAGGCGCTATAGTTTAATCTCTGTGAATCCCTTCCCCCTACTCTACTTCTGCCCTTCCATACCCATAGCTGTCTACATTTTGACCCCATTTTTCCAGGTATGACATCATGAATCTACAGAACGTGGGCGACGATCGCTTTGACTACTTAAATGTGGGGTCCTGGCATGAGGGGGTCTTGAGCATCGATGACAACAAGCTATGGATGAACAGCAGTGACATGGTTCGCTCGGTCTGCAGTGACCCCTGTTCCAAAGGACAAATAAAGGTGGGTGTTCTTCAGTGCTACAAGTACATTTCCACAATGTCTTACAAAGTGGGCAGGACTGTGGGGGGTTCAGAAGCATTTTGCGTGTGCCACAGAGGTACGCCGTCTTGTTGCTTGACGTTTTCAGAACTATTTTGTCAAAGTATTTGCAACGGAACTAAAAACATCTCTGCATTGCTAGTCGTAAACCCCTCGATCAAGCTACAATGAATCGCTCTGGAAGCTGGAGGAGGGCAGGGTGGGAAGCTCCTCATTTGGCTTTAAAGAAACAGCCTCAAAATGAGTTGATCTGAGACACACTCCTGAAAAAAGGGGTAAAAGAGAGCTGAGTGAAACCAACCCATCCAGGGGATTCTGATGTTATCAGTCCATGAAATGGACGTTATTAGGCGTTATCAGTCCCATGCAATGGCTTCAGAAGGTCCCTACTGTGCCTTCTAGGCTTCAGACTGTCCCGACAGTGCCCCCTAGTGGGTTCATATATCAATGACAATGAATGTGTAAATAACCAAAACATAATGTAGTAAATATTTTGTTTCCGTGTCCATGTCAGTCTTGAGCCCTTGTCTTCCCCTCTCTGGTCCAACACTCTACCCATTGCACTATTGGAAGACCACAACACACAACCGTTGGAGGGCGGTGTCTTTAGCGCTAACCATGTCATTTGCTCTAAAGTTAACCTTAGTGGCTTTAAGCCTCATATTAACCAGTTTTTTTTAATGCCTTATGTTAACCAGATAGTGGTTTTATGCCTCATACTAACCAGCTGACAATCGGAAGCCATTCTATGGGATAAGGAACCTGCTAACCGGCACAGGCGGGACCTTCTGAAGCCATTGTATGGGACTGATAACGCCTAATAACATCCATTTCATGGATGATAACATCCGAAGCTGGTGACCCCTCCCAAAAAATGAACCACAGAAAAAAAAAGGCAAATAGGCTGAGTGGTTAGTGAGTCGTTTGTGCAGGTTTGTGCACTTGAAATTGTCATTTGTTCTGCTATGGTTTTTAATATATTATAGATTATTTGTAAGGATCATTCAGGGGTCACCATCCCACCCGCTTGCTCCAAAATGAACCAAGAACGAACCAAACTAGTCGAATTTTGTTTTGCTTTGTTTGAGCAGGTTTGTGCTATTGAAACAGCTGTTTGTGCTGCTCTAATTTATGATGCATTACACGTTATAATTTCGGATGATCATGTGTCTGTGACGAATGTGCTAAACAGTCAGCGGGTGGTGAAATCCATTGTCACAGACGTAAACAATTCAGGCCAAGTCACGTGATCGTCCGAAATTATAACGTGTAATATCTCATAAATTATAGCAGCACAAACAGCCGTTTCAACGACACAAACCTGCTCAGACAAAGCACTACAAAATTCGACTAGTTTGGTTCATTCTGGAGTGAGTGGGTGGGATGGTGACCCCTGAATGACTCTTACAAATAATCTTTAATATATAAAAAAAACATAGCAGCACAAATGACAATTTCAAGTGCACAAACGACACACTAACCACTCAGCCTATTTGCCTTTTTTTTGCCTGTGGTTCATTTTTTGGGAGGGGTTGGTTTCACTCAGTTGTAAAAGAGGGGCTTGTGGAGTTACAGTAAGGAGGAACTCAGACCAAAGCATTGCTGTTCTACTTTATATAGACCCTAACTGAATGATTTAAATCTAAAAAAGAAAGACTTAAAAACGTGATCTGTCTCCTTGCATTATGAGGCATCAGTTTTCTGTTGTGCTACACCTAGCAGCCCTGAGGGAGGGTGCAGCCTCTCTCCTGGATGCTCTCGTCTCCTTCTATCGGCTTTGTTTCTTACCCCACTTATCACCCTGCTTTGCATATCACAGCGCTGGTAACAGCTTCTCCGGGAGCAGAATGTAAAAGCAGTTGGCCTTGTTTTCTAAACACTCTGTTTGGGGTTCAAGCAAAAAGCAAAAAAAAAGCAAAAAAAAAAATGGCACAAACACATGATCGACTTTGACATCCCCTTGTGGCCCATTACTTTTTTATGCTGCTTTGAGCTCGAGGGTTTTAAGCCTCTTGTCTCAGCTTGGTAAACGATGCGACCGGTTCCTATAAGATGTCTCTTTTTGACCCACATATGTTAATTATTCCTACATGCAGGTGATAAGGAAAGGCGAAGTGAGCTGCTGCTGGATTTGCACGACATGCAAGGACAACGAATATGTCCAGGATGAGTTTACCTGCAAGGCATGCGAGCTGGGATGGTGGCCCGATGAAGAACTGGCAGGTAAGGAGAAAACCTGGACTCTGCAATGCCTTTATTCTTTCATTTGTACCGAACTGATCTGCACACATCATAATCACCCTCACTCGTTTAAGCTAACTAATAATGAGGGTCATAAATTTTCAAACAATGACGTTATCCTCTCAAAATGCAGCAGTRTGGCACCCTTTCTCCAGCTCAGCCCCGTCCTCCAGCTCTCCTTTAGCTTCCTCAGCCTCCTCTCACGAACCTGTTATTGCTCACTTCCTTCCTCTCTGCTCTTTGCCTTTTTGTACCTTACTGGTTGTTTTGACAGCAATTTATGAAGTTGAGAGGAGCTCTCATTTCCCAGGTGCCAAATCCTGTTACTGCCATGAGAGGCTTAGGAACACACTTCAGCASAGTGCCAAGAAAGAAATCTTCCCCTCACTTTTCTGGCACAGGGAGAATTCTAAAAGATAGRGGTTGATAATCCATACACAGGTTACATTGTTGATTTTTGTGCCTAACTGGAGACATGTGTTATCTATAAATTAATGTTTTAAGTCTAAGAACATTGTTTTAAAGATTTTATTTGCGGTATGCATTGCTGGCTACTGTAAAATGTCTGATTTGGCACGTTAGGCGTTAGCATGCAGATCAGCAGTGGGYTTCACAGTGAAGTCACTTTAATGCTATTAGCAGAAGCATATAATTTATGGAGTGTTAAGCTGGGGAAGTCGAGGGAGTCAGTTTTCTCCCATTAAGCTCTACAACATTCCTTTACATGCTGGATGACAAGTATGCAACTGGTGCATTATGACAAAGAGTTAAGACACACATAACTACATGTTTGCACAATAATGTGCATTGCATGTGTGAGGGAAAATAGTATTTTAAAGGGCCAATATTATGTGTTTCTCAGGCATACATTTAAATACTATATCATAATAAAGCATCTATGTCACCTTTAGCTGTTATTAAAATGCTGTTTTATGTTTAAATAGAAAATAAAATTATCTTCTCATCACTTCTTCTTCTAAACGCCTTGAAAGTGGCCTCTGTCTCTTTAAGAACCATCTTCCGCTTCTGTCCCGCCCATTTCGGTGCGGGGAGGTGGGGGGTGCGCTATGATGCAGTTTACTTGGCATCTGAAAATATATTTCCTCAAAGGTATTTTAATCTGAAAAGAGCTTCACTGAGTGAGACGTAGTGGAGCCCAGCAGACGGTTTCAGTTTCACTTTCACTTTCACCCGAGAGCCTGCAGGAGTCATGGGCAGGGTGTGTGGGTATGGGTGGGGAGGTGGCTCTGCATGAAGAAGTTCGGCTTAAAGACACGTCCCAGGGGCGTTTCTGGCCCCCACCTGTCGCTTTGCTCCACTGCATGGCTTCCTAAAAACGCTGCAGGATTTCTCAAACATGCATGAATGAGTCAAAGCAAGGCTTTGGGCATGTTTTTTATGAGAGTATAACATTATAACATGATATAAAACTCAAAAAAGTTGATTTTACATGATATTGCCCCTTTAAAAGACTGACATATCGTCTTCTCCTTTCAGGCTGCCAACCCCTGCCTTTGAAGTATCTTGACTGGGCAGATGTGGAGTCCATAGTTGCAGTCGTTTTCTCCTGTGTGGGCATCCTGATCACCTCCTTCGTCACCTTCGTGTTCATCCAGTACCGTGACACACCTGTGGTTAAGTCCTCCAGCAGAGAGCTGTGTTACATCATCCTGGCAGGTATATTCCTAGGCTACATCTGTCCGTTCACCCTGATCGCGCGTCCCACGGTGGCCTCCTGCTACCTGCAGCGTCTCCTGGTCGGCCTTTCGTCGGCCATGTGCTACTCGGCCCTGGTGACTAAAACGAACCGGATCGCCCGCATTCTGGCGGGCAGCAAGAAAAAGATCTGCACCAGGAAGCCACGCTTCATGAGCGCCTGGGCTCAGGTGATCATTGCTTTCATGCTAATCAGCGTGCAGCTAACTCTGGAAATAACGCTCATCATTCTGGAGCCTCCTGAGCCCGTCAAGTCCTACCCGAGCATTCGCGAGGTTTACCTCATCTGCAACACCAGCAACATMGGCATGGTGGCGCCACTGGGCTACAACGGCCTGCTAATCATGAGCTGCACCTACTATGCCTTTAAGACAAGAAACGTCCCTGCCAATTTTAACGAGGCGAAATACATCGCCTTTACAATGTACACTACCTGCATTATCTGGTTGGCCTTTGTGCCGATTTATTTTGGCTCCAACTACAAGATCATCACCACGTCCTTCTCCGTCAGCCTGAGTGTCACAGTGGCGCTGGGCTGCATGTTCACCCCCAAGATGTACATTATCATTGCCAAACCAGAGAGGAATGTCCGAAGCGCCTTTACCACATCCGATGTGGTGCGAATGCATGTTGGTGATGGGAAGTCTGCGGCTCAGTGTGGCAGCAATAGCTTCCTCAATATGTTCCGCCGGAAAAAGGCTGTGTCTGGAAATGCCAAGTAAGTAGAAAATTTTAATATTTGCATTTTTATGCTGTGTCACGGTGCTTACTGAAAAAGACCTTGTCCACATGGAAATGCTATTGTTTCAAAATGATTTTTATGTCATATTCAAACGATTCTTGTTTAACATGGCACCAATTCTAATAAAGTTTTCATCCACATGGAAACAYCAAAWATGACACAAGGCACTRTAGCAGGGCTATTCAACTAGGTGACTTCCAATGAAAGTGCTCAATTTGRATTGAAAGGAACAGCATCAAAATGAGCTGCTTTGAGACACACCTCAGAAAAGGGGTGAAAGAGGGGCAGGTAAAGTTAAAAKAAGGAAGAACTCAGATCAAAGCAATGCAGTTCTACTTTAAATAGACCCCAAACTAAATGATTCAAATGTGGAAAAAGAAGGATATAATTGAATTTAATAATACATTTCAAGTCAATGCTAACTTTTAAATCAATGCAACAAAAAACAAAAATTTACAAGGCAAAACATAACGGTCACATGACTTAGTGTCATGTGACCAGGGGGAGTTTGAAGGAATTTATTAGTCAGACACTGATTTAAGCACCACATCATTTTCATAGTTTTCCCTTTTAAGGCTTGACTTTAATAATCTATTGTTCGACTATTGTAACGTCTTGATTAAAATAGGTTTAGTTACATGCCCGAAACACCTTGACAACACATAACAAACCGTTAGTAAAAACATTAGATGAGCATTGCTGTTCAGAGTGTCTGCGATTCAGCCGTAGGCCTGTAGTGGGCGTACCAGGCACTGAAGATCCCTGTATATATAGACCGGAACTTCCGGTTTCAGCCAGACTTGCTCTGATTGCTTCAGCGTAAGCAATAAAGCTYGCTCGTAAACCAGATCTGGTTTGTATGGTTCCATTCGCTTCACATTTTAAKCTATTCAATATTTATGTGGTTTCGTCACGATTTCAGTTAACRAACCCGAAATATTCTTACATGTGTATGAATGGTGATTGACTAGCGTAAAGCACTTTGGAGTCCTTGGGCTTGATAAAGTACTACATAAGTTCAGGCCATTTACTRTTATACCTTTAGTTCTTCTAAATGTTCCAAGAATAAATGAAGCACCAGGTTTATTGTTTTCAGAATGTTTTGTAAAAATAAAACTTAATTTGGAAGAATGTCTACACTTACYTCCRTAGCATATTATRCATAATGCCATGGTATTTCTTCCACWTTGGTGAATTCCTACATTCATGTCAGACCTACATCCAATCTGACTGGATCAAATGATAWATTCTGCTGCAAAATGTAAACTAATTCTTTTAACACATTGAATGGAATAATGATACTTGTATTGATACCCTTATCAGTATCAGTTCCGGGTACCAGGGCACTTTGTAAGAGTATGTCGATTTGAAAAAAAACCCCGCTGGTATCAGTACACCACAAACAAAAACACAATGCTGGCGTTTCAAGGTTTGTTTTCCTCTCTGCAAGCCATTTTCCAAAAACACCACTTTGGGTTCTAAAACARACTTTCTGTGTGGATGCAAAGCTGTAACACTAACAAACATTGGCATCTTCACAAAAAAAAAATTCCACGTGGACAACTCCTAAAGTATGTGATAACTACGCACCAAAATCAAATTAATTAATTGGGTAATACCTGACACCAGTCAAAGTTAGCATGCAGTCATTTTGGACATGAATGTTATGAAAATATTAAGCTTTCTGGGATTATTATTAGGTGTAAAATTATTTACTAGAAAATGAAAAAAATATCACTTGGTCACATTTTTTTAATCAGGGTGTGCCATACTGTTTATTGAATGTCTTTTATAACATGTTTTACCTTTTAAACTGAAGTTTTTGGTAGCAATCAGGCTCTACTAATTACTAMTATGTTGTCGAACTGAAAAGGCATGTTATGAATTGCATCATTCATCCTGAACCAAAGTACTGATTCATGAAAAAACTTGATGCTCATGACATCTATGTCCATTATGAGTGTTTTTAAGCTTCTGATTAATGTTAACAATCGGAACTTAAGAGCTGGACTTCATTTAAGCATTTATAAATGAATGCAGATTTGCAGAGAAACAGTATAAACAGTGGTTCATATGGCACATCCCCCACCCCCCTTAGATTACATATAGTCCCATCTTCTAAAATGTTGTTTCATTTYTAAATACTTAGAATGGACGTTTGCTGTCAATGATTTGGAGCAAAGATGTCAGTGATGTTTTCATTAGTAAAGCAGAATTAAGAATTGCATTTACGTTTTTGAGATCCACAGCCGTGACGCGTGGACAGGTGACTGAAGTAAGGAGTGGGGCAGAGAATGAAAGTGATCCCGACATGTTTTCCGTGTTGTCCCTCAACCCTGTGCTATGCAGCCAACATAACCCTTTAATATTCTACATGAAAAAAAGCAAAAGTCAAGGCTGGCAAATGTTGTGGCGTGGGGGTTCTTCACCTGCTTTCCTGGAGAGCTGCACTGTCAATTGAATCTATTGTTTATTTTTAAAGAATTGAGTTTTCTGCTTGAGTGCTTTTGAGTATTTCCACACTAAACAACAGAGCAACCTGGTTAAAGTATCCAAATAATTCAAAGTCTCCCTTTCCTCTGGTGCTTTTGGCACTGTAGCTCTCCATGTAGGAGACTGCCACCCTGCTGCTTTTGGTTTACCCGGAATTAACCTCGCATTTTAACTTTTTTTCACAGCATGTACACCCTCCCCATGCCACCTCCCTAACTAATCACATTGGAGCCAGTCCGAGCTCATTCTGCACTAAACTTTGTGTTGTCTTCAGGCCAGCGCAGGGGCGAGCAGAAACACTCCACAAATGCATGCGTCTTAGTTTTACCATGAGCAAATAAATAAATAAAAATTAGCTGGATGGCTCTTAGTACTTTTTGATTTTAATGTCTAAAGCAATTGGTGGATCATAATGCCTTTGGTGCATTATGAAACACCGTGAGGCTAATAAATGTAATGCTGTTTAGGGTTTATTCGTGAACCCTTTAGCAAAGCTGTTAATGTGAAGTCCTGTGGAGAAAAGTATTTTAACATGCATTAGAAATGTTGAAATGCTGTTGCTTGGTTGTGGGTATGCTGCCGCTGTTGTGTTACGTTGTTTGTTTGGTTGTATTTTTTTCTGCCTCCACCTCCTGGTTTCCTGTGACAGTAACTTGAGTCTTTATCTCGTTCATAGTTCTAATGGCAAGTCTGTGTCATGGTCTGAATCAGGTGCAAGACACCCTCCGAAAGGGGGGAATGTGTGGCACAGACTGTCTGTGCATGTGAGGAAACAGGAAGCCGGCTTGAATCAGACAGCGGTCATCAGGCCCCTAACTAACACCCCCGACCCCCACAGTTCCGAGCCCTCCGCCGACAACCTTGGCACCGACGCCCATCTCCCCCAGGAGCMACCCGGCAGTAAGCCTCTGCGCAATCTGGTAGAGGAAGACGACGAGGGCGACGCGCAACGCCCCCTCTGGACTCCCTCGGAACAGATTCAAGGACTCGATTCGGACTTGGACGAGCCGGCTTCTTATTTGCCCCACAACTTGAAACGGCCCAACCCCGAGCCCTCCCAGGGACGTACGGTGAACACGCACAGCTCCCACGTCCCTGGACTGAACGACCACACTGCCAGGGAGTCGCACCCTGCCAAGAAGCCTTTGAGCTTAAAACCATCTCAGCTTCCTTCAGCCTCGCAAGTGGGGGCCTTCAACGAGGAGGAGTCTGAGGATGAGGAACTGGACCTCTTGCACAGCTACATCTATGATGCCAAGGAGGAGAGGGAKGGGGAGGACGGAGAGGGCGAAGAGTTGATCCGACACAAGGCAACTCTGGAGGAATCCTTACCTCTGTCTCCCCCCTCGCCCTTCAGAGACTCTGTGTGTTCGGGGGAGTCTGTCGACGGCTCGCCCACCATCGAGTCGATGCTCGGTAGCTCCGTCTACGGCTCTAATATCCTGCAGAATTTCGCACATAGCTCCTCGACACTGTGAGAGCAAAACGGGCCCCGACTCATCAGTCGCACTGATCACAAAAACAAAAAGAATTCCAATTGTTTATTAGGTGACCTACTTGCTTGTATTTACTACTTTTATTRGTAGATGGTTTATTCAAATAGAGATGCACCTCAATGTAGAAGCGCTTAATGTTTTTGAAGGGCTGCCAGTGCACTTTTGGGAACATGTAAAAGTGAGAACGGTGCCAAAATGAGCCAACTMCAATGCCAAATTTTTTCATAAATGACACAACAAGGAATCAATAAAGGCTGTAGCTCTGGTTTTGACAGTGGCAGCACAACTGAATGGTTTCTGTGGACCAAAAATTGGAAATAAGTAACAAGAAGTCACATCAACATTAAAATGACAAGGTGGTAAATTTGGTAAATGGTAAATTTTGCAGTTAAGTGTTATGAGTTGCATCAACATAGAGATAAAGACTTGAGCTGTATATTATGTGAAATGGTTATAATGTGCCAATCGAACTTTTGAACAACCAACATCCMTGCTTTTAATTTTTTTTAAATAATGTAGCTGAGAAATAATTGTGTGATTGTAGATATAATGGCGATGTTTATTCTGTTTATGCTAAATGACAGCCCTGAGAACAAGTTTTACAAATATTGGGATGTGCAAAAAGAAAAAAAATGCTTTTGCGTTTCATGCCGCGGTAATATTTTTCACGTTTTCTGGGTTTGCCGTGTCATTGTAAGGGAAAACACAGTACAAGTTGTTCAAATTTTCAAAGTTTGTAATACTATTAAGCCATCTCTTGTTTTTCACACAAGTGGTATGTTTGTAATACGGATAAATGTTTCTATATTTAGAATGTCAGCAGAAAAAAACAGTTTATACACTTTGAAACTGTCTTCTGATATTTGTTAAGGTACAGTGTGTTTTAATTATTATTATTATTATTATTATTATTATTATTATTATTATTATTATTTGATATTTTTAAGCCAACTCAAGTTGACTGCATTCTCTTTAAAAGGGTTTTGTTGTAAGCATAACCACTGATTAGCTGCTTCCTGTAATAAGATTATAAATGTTTCAGTTGAGCTTAAATCTTGCTATAAACTTGAGTAGTTCAGTTAAGGTTAAGTTTCTTAGGTTTTTATTTAATCACTAATAATAAAAATCATTTCAGAGTACGCGACTACACGGTACATACTGTAGTGCAAATGTATTGTAATTCCCAATGGTTTTTAGTTGATTATAGTGCAATTGGTTTAATACTTTTAGCTCATGTAAACAAAACAAGGTGCCACCTGTTTGAACACTGTTGACTCYATAATAGGCCTTTTATTGTTTTGGGTGAGCTGGATATGAACAATGCTGTAAAATAAAATTATTTATATTAAGAAGTCTGATCATTGCCTACAGTAGCCTGATGCCAAAGTTGTCTCAACTCAATGAAGATCCAATAATTTGAAACACTTTTCTTTAAGGCAGTAGTTCTGATGATCGATTTCCAGGAAGATAAAGGTTTATAATTAAAAGAATTATTTATTAAAACAAATTTTAATATAAATGGTAGATTTTGRAGATTATATGTTATTGTAGTTATTGGTATTGCTAAGTGTCTGGACTAATTTTTACCAGAGGTTTATAGTAACTAAGTACATTTACTGTAGTGTTTTTTCAGGATTTGTAATTTTACCAATTTTTTTTAAACAGCTACTTTTACTTTTATTTCATTACATTTTAAAGCTAAAAGGATACTTTAACTTTTTTACTTTAAAATGTAACACATAGTTACTCTTTACAAAAATTAAACATGTTTGAACTCATAATAAAAGATGTTTATGCACTTTAAAAAAATGGTGTTGAATTTACTCAACAAAGTTGTGTCACCTGGCTCCACTAAGCCTAGCTGAGTAAATTGAGCAAATAATATACATTATTGCTCAATTAACTCAACCTGGCTCAGTAAATTCAACGTTTATTTCTTGGAGAGTTTGTAAAAGTTTTACTTTTACTTAACCAATTTCTGTAAACAGTTTTATGACTTTTACTTCAGTAATTTTCTCATCAGTGAAATTTATTTTTACCAAAGTCATTTTCTGTTCAATTTTATTTTTACTTACTGGTAGTTATTATTTTTTCAAGTACTTTGTAGACCTCTGATTTTTACACAAACATCAATGACAGCAAAACCCTATGTTTTCAGGTTTTTGCACTGCAGTCTGATCCATTCAGACTCCTTTTTATTTAAAATAGTCAAGCCTAAACCTACGTTTGTGTTACTTTGCAAATGTATGTATAAACTTACCACAAAAAGAAAGGAAATTTGTGTTTAGATTATGTCTTTGTTGTAACAATGGTTATTGGTAATAAATCTAATACTGTTGGAGTGCATGTTAATTTTCCCTTTAAATGGTGCCACATTCTTCTGGTACCCCCAGGTGCTGCCAATCAGGTGCCCTGTATGAAATTTATTCCCAAGAAGCATTGTTACAACCAAGAAATAATCTACCAAACACACAGTTTCTTACTTTTTGTGCGCTAAGTCTAGCTCACATATAATGGTTAAATATAAATAGGCTTCACTAACATTCATTAGTAACACAAAAGTTCCACAGCTGGGAAAAGAGCGACAAACTAAGCAAACAGTGTTATGCAAATGTTTAGAGGTTTAATGTAGAATCCTTCCAAATTTTAGGGGTGGCCATTGCCCCTGTGGTCCCCCCCTATGGGGCGCCCCTGGTCCAGCCTATAGAAATAAAGTCGGATGTTGATTTTTAGACAAAGTGGCGTTGTAAACCTGAAAAAATAATCAAACGGTACCCATCAGCTTTATTATGCAATTTGTTGCCAAAAAGTATTGTTACAACAAAGAAATTCTCTACCAAAATAAATCCCCTTACTTTTTGTGTTAAGTATAGAAAGCGTAAAAATATATGATTCGCTAACATTCATTTACACAGTAACACAAAGGTTGTACAGCTAGAAAAAAACAGTGTAATGCAAAAGTTTAGAGGTTTAATATAGCATCCTTTCCAATTTTTATGGGTGGCCATTGCCCCTGTGGTCCCCCCCTATGGGGCGCCCCTGGTCCAGCCTATAGAAATAAAGTCGGATGTTGATTTTTAGTTAAAGTGGTGTTAKAAGCCAGAAAAATAATCAAACTGTATCCATCAGCTTTATTATACGATTTGTTGCCAAAAAGTATTGTTACAACAAAGAAATTCTCTACCAAAATAAATTCCCTTACTTTTTGTGTTAAGTACAGAAAGCATAAAAATATATGCTTTACTTATTCATTTACACAGTAACACAAAAGTTGTACAGCTAGAAAAAAGTGTAATGCAAAAGTTTAGAGGTTTAATGTAGCATCCTTTCCATTTTTTTTTGGGTGGCCATTGCCCCCTGGTCCCCCCTTGGTGGTGCCCCTGATCCAGCCTATAAAGCCAGATGTTGATTTTTAGATAAAGTGGTGTTATAAGCCTGAAAAAAATAANCTGATCCAGCCTATAAAGCCAGATGTTGATTTTTAGATAAAGTGGTGTTATAAGCCTGAAAAAAATAATCAAACTGTATCCATCAGCTTTATTATGCAAGTTGTTGCCAAAAGGTGTTGTTACAACAAAGAAATTCTCTACCAAAATAAATTCCCTTACATTTAGTGTTAAGTATAGAAAGCATAAACATACATATATGCTTTACTTATTCATTTACACAGTGACACAAAAGTTGTATAGCTAGAAAAAAGTGTAATGCAAAAGTTTAGGGGTTTAATGTAGCATCCTTTCCAATTTTTTTATGGGTGGCCATTGCCCCCCCCCCCGGTCCCCCCTTGGTGGCGCCCCTGATCCAGCCTATTAAGCCAGATGTTGATTTTTAGATAAAGTGGTGTTATAAGCCTGAACAATAATCAAACTGTATCCATCAGCTTTATTATACAAGTTGTTGCCAAAAGGTATTGTTACAACAAAGAAATTCTCTACCAAAATAAATTTCCTTACTTTTTGTGTTAAGTATAGAAAGCATAAAAATATATGCTTTACTTATTCATTCTCACAGTAACACAAAATTTGCACAGCTAGGAAAAAAACAGTGTAATGCAAAAGTTTATAGGCTTAATGTAGCATCCTTTCCAATTTTTTTATGGGTGGCCATTGCCCCTGTGGTCCACCCCTATGGGGCGCCCCTGGTCCAGCCTATAGAAATAAAGTCGGATTTTGATTTTTAGATAAAGTGGTGTTGTAAGCCTGAAGAAAAATAATCAAACTGTATCCATCAGCTTTATTATACAAGTTGTTGCCAAAACGTATTGTTAAAACAAAGAAATTCTCTACCAAAATTAATTCCCTTACTTTTAGTGTTAAGTATAGAAAGCATAAAAAATATATGCTTTACTTATTCATTTACACAGTAACACAAAAGTTGTACTGCTAGAAAAAAAAGTGTAATGCAAAAGTTTAGAGGTTTAATGTAGCATCCTTTCCAATTTTTTTGGGTGGCCATTGCCCCCCCTGGTCCCCCCTTGGTGGTGCCCCTGATCCAGCCTATAAAGCCAGATGTTGATTTTTAGATAAAGTGGTGTTATAAGCCTGAAAAAAATCAAACTGTATCCATCAGCTTTATTATATGATTTGTTGCCAAAAAGTATTGTTAAAACAAAGAAATTCTCTACCAAATTAATTCCTTTACTTTTAGTGTTAAGTATATAAAGCATAAAATATATGCTTCGCTAACATTCATTTACACAGTAACACAAAATTTGTACAGCTAGAAAAAAAACTGTTATGCAAAAGTTTATAGGTTTAATGTAGCATCCTTTCCAATTTTTTATGGGTGGCCATTGCCCCCCTGGTCCCCCCTTGGTGGCACCCCTGATCCAGCCTATACAGCCAGATGTTGATTTTTAGATAAAGTGGTGTTATAAGCCTGAACAAAAAATCAAACTGTATCCATCAGCTTTATTATGCAAGTTGTTGCCAAAAAGTATTGTTAAAACAAAGAAATTGTCTACCAAAATAAATTTCCTTACTTTTAGTGTTAAGTATATAAAGCATAAAAATATATGCTTTACTTATTCATTTACACAGTAACACAAAAGTTGTACTGCTAGAAAAAAAACAGTGTAATGCAAAAGTTAAGAAGTTTAATGTAGCATCCTTTCCAATTTTTATGGGTGGCCATTGCCCCCCTGGTMCCCCCCTATGGGCCGTCCCTGATCCAGCCCATTGGAGAACAGATGTCAAATTTGCGGTAAGCCTGAAACCTTCCCGGAAACTTTACCCAGAATCTCAGGTTTGTTGGAAAATGCTCACACTAAAGCACTATTTCTATGAATTAAAAGGTTTCCCCTGCAGCTTTATATTTCTTTTTYCCTGAATCATGACTGTAATCACCGCAGGAGGAGGAGAGAAATGTCGAGCTTGTTCGACGTTTCCGGGTCCTGTGACTTATCAGGTGGTGTGTGGCAGCGGGAGGAGAAGGAGGAGGAGGAGAAAAAAAGAGTATTTAGAAAAGTGCTGGAAGAAGAAGAAGAGGCGACGCGACTCTCTGACCCACCCCAGCACTCAGGGCAGCTTTATGACCGACAGGAAGCAGACGTCCTCCTGTAAAGTTTCGACAGAACCACTTTTAGCGTGTCAGCATGGCCGGAGGCTCGGTGTCGGAGTGTAAGGAGTACCTGTTCAAAGTGCTGGTCATCGGGGAGTTAGGAGTGGGCAAGACCAGCATCATCAAGCGCTACGTTCACCAGCTCTTCTCGCAGCATTACAGGGCGACCATCGGGGTCGACTTCGCGCTTAAAGTCCTGAACTGGGACAGCAAGACCCTGGTCCGGTTACAGCTGTGGGACATCGCAGGTAAGCTGACTTTAGTTTTCTGAAACTCGTGCGCGTGACCGCGAGGGGAGTTTCTSTTTCACAGATAAAAACTGAAACAAGACTTTCTGGTTGAGAATTTTGTCACGATATGAGTCATCATGTTCAGTCACGTTTGAAAGGAATATGTTAATATAATAACTTAAAGAAAGAAACATGAAGAGTTTTCCACTTTTCTRATCACAGCAGCTCTTAATTGTCAATGGAATGTAGGTCACGTTGTTATTATCGACTAAGCCCCGCCCCCAATAACTTCTCAGTTGTGTTTTTCCTGTTATGTGACCTTCCTGCTTTTTATCACTATACTACTATAATTTAAATTACATAATACTGCTCTATAAGCTACCCCAAGTAACTTTTTTTTTCTCAGTCTAGGCCAGGAGTGGGCAGTCCTGGTTCTGGAGGGCCGCAGCCCTGCATGTTTTATTTTATTTTTTTCTGCTCAAACACACCTGATCTGAATGAATGGGTGATTATCAGGCTTCTGCAGTATGGAGGACCGAAACTGACATAATTAAAAATAAAAGCGGAAATATATAAATTGACAAATAAATAAATAAATAAATAAAGTGCACCAATATAATTCAAAAAGGAGGATTTTAGTTAAAGTATATATACACATATACAGAC